CATATGAGGGTTCTCCCTCCAGTGTCAAGTTTCAAAGCTGTCTTCTTCGTATACAAATTTTTCTACGTAATTTACCGTTTAGCGGCTTTACATACTACCCAATACAAATTAATAAAATTTAAATAACGTAAAGGTGAATTTAAAAATTCATAGGTTTACCCTGGAATTCAGACTTGGGATCTTCAAATCATAAATCTCTAATCGGACCGTAAATTCGTAATCAAGCATTGTCCGGCTAAACGGTTGCCGGTAGAGGAAAACTAAAGAGACAACACGTTTTTTTATCAAATGACTAGCCAGTGTAGAAAAATAATTCCTTTTTGACCATCTGAATATGGGTCCTTTTAACAATATTCGTAATTTTATTAATACATATAGTTGCTTTGCATGCAGTTTCTTCCGAATAATCAAAATATATAAATTGATCGAATAAAAAATGGCATATGACCTTCTCCATTCCAAGAATTAGATGTTTACTAAATTCAATAATCATTAGTTGTGCCCTTAAAATTCTAAGTATTAACAAGCACACTCACTTTCTCGTTTACAATGTTAGTACGAATAGTAGTAAAATTAGTGCGACCTACAGTATGCCGTTCCATTTATTTACACTGTAATATATACACGAGATAATTTATCGTCACAATTCATTTTCCAGTTTTATTGGTTCAACCCTATTGTGCTTATCACAAAAGGTTCAATCTCGTACATCATCAATTCGGATAGTCGCAAATATCTCGTAACTCGCTTTTATAAAATCCGATACAACGCTCTCCCTTTGATAGTGCGGCCTTGCAGTTATTAGACGACAATAGTAAATTGTTGGGAACGATTCAAGAATGATGGCCATATATTGTCAATCGTGTGTTGGTATAATAATAGATTCTAGCACAAGTATAAATAAACCAGGTAGAACTGACACTCATATGCTTTACTTTGTGAATACGGTAAATGCCGCTAAAATGTGTATTGGTTGGTAGGGTTGTCTCATATTCATTCGCATCTAACAAATAATCTTACAATATGACACAACTGTGAGCGAGATTGTTGAGCGAAATCTATCATTAGTTTGTTGCTTGCAAGCCCTGACTGATTTAGGTCCTAAAGCTGAGCCGTTAGCGCGCTAATAAAGTTATTATTATTGATTGTTACTGTATCCATTCTAACTGGATGGTCTAGTGGTGTTAGTTTATAATATACATACACATACTAGTCAAGTCGCACTCAAAGATCTAATAACAGAGTGGTAGAGCGATCATAATGCCTTGAGCTCCCGCCCTATGAGGACCAGTGGTCCGAGAGATCTTAAGCATAGGAAGAATCTAATATATATTTATTACATAAATTAATAAAGACATTTTTGATTACTTTAAGAATTAAAGTATTAACTCAAGAACATACACGAATTATACAAATAAACTAACAAGACAGAAGAAAACTTATACAACTTCACTGCTCTAACTATTGGAATTTGGTTTTTTATTTATGTTAAGACCTATCCGATGAATTTGCACCGGGCCCAGATGAAACAGTGACGCAACTGGTCTGCTAATTAAATCATTTAGTTCTTTTTTTTGTGCAACTTCATTGACAATCAGACGGCCCACCTGATAAAAAGTGATAATCGTTGACTACAGATATGAACAGTATCATGAACATAACAGAGTATACTGTGTCGCCCATTATACTTTCGATTAATGGATAAAGGTGGTTCGAGACCAATCCTCATTGCAGTTTATTGCAAAGACCTACGTTCTGCAGTGGAAAATAGAAATAACGATGACAACAAAGTCCCAGTCACTGATAGTGATAAACTAAAAATATAAAGATTTTATTGAAGTTATTTTATTAATTTAATTTATTCTCGGAAGAATGGTACTGTCATTGTGTACGTCCTCACGTCTCACCCTTATCTATCTTAATTTGTATAACATGTAACAAACTTTAATAAAATGGGTTTCCAAAGTTTGTATATGTATATATCTGTCCCGATTACTTTTTAGTAATGTTAAGTTTTTCGGGACACTTATGTGTATTTGAATCTTTAGCGTAACATATAGTTTTAACAGCTTGATGAATTTAAGACATCAATATTATTCTATTCTGTGGCAATATTTTTAGTATTATGAACGAATGAATGTGTGTATGAAATGTCACTCTTCTAATAAGGACAAGGAATGAAGAATACAACAATAAAAAATAAATAATTATGTAAGCAAAAATTATTCGTATTTCTCTTTAAAGGAAAAGCGATTTTAATATATCCACTTATTTAATTTCTTTATACGATTTTAATAAAAAATAATTACGTAAAAAGCGTGGAACGAATTTAACAGAAAATACGTTTTCATTAAGTAATGGATAAGAAAATAATAAGACGCCAGATCTGACTGTATCTTTCCATCTCATACATACAGTATTACTAACAAATATTGTTAAACATTTAAAAGTCACATATGTACATAACACATTGTATTTTAATGTAATAACTACCAGTTTAACTTATGTGTAATTTGGTTGAGAAAGCTGGACTAGATTCGGAACCCTTAATCTTGAGCGGCTGTGAGATGAGCGCAAGCCTGACACGTTTATCTTGAAATATATCCAATACTGATAGATTTATATACTAGCTCTTAAAGAAGAAGTAGTTCTTAATTCCCCTGTATTTTTTTACGTTGTACAATAAGAATAAAAATATGTATTATTTAAATAAAATTAATTACAAACCTTCATGAATAAACATTTTTATGAATCATTCGAATGTTGACATCGCAATAATATATACGCCAATTCTGTTGTTTTTGACAATTAACAGATAAATTCAAGCATAGTAGGCACAGAAACTACTGTTACATTCAAACCATTATCATTTAATGTGTATATATATATATATATATATATATATATATATATATATATATATATATATATATATATATATATATATATATATATATATATATATATATATATATATATATATATATATATATATATATATGGATATGTATATGTGTATATATATAATTATTTATAATTTATGTAAATATTTATTTAAATTTCTGTCTTGCACTACTACTGCCCACTCACTACTTCCTATGTCACTGCGTTAGGTTGACTGGAAGAGATCTCTTTTAGAGATAAGTTCGCCTTTGCTAACATTGTTATTAACTTATTGTTGTTACTGTAAATGAATAAACTGTGATAACGCCAGTGATAAAACACAAAACATATTTTCACTCATAATGGCCTTCGTTACGATTTGCTATTGAAAGTGAAATATGAATTATGATTTTTGTAATATGAGCGAACGAATATAGACTTTAAAGTAGTATATGATATAGTCTCTATTCGCTTATTCTGTAGGGCCTATCGGTCATCTACTGCGATTTCACTTCACTTCTTAGTGACTGGCGTAGCATATGAAATTTCACTTGTGTCCTATGAAATATTACAAGCGTGGAAGTCATAAAAATATAATCATATAGTTTGATTTTAGAAATGTAACAGTTGTCTTTATGTGATTTTGTACATCGACTTCGTTCATAACAAAAGCGATAGCTAAGTCTGGACTTTTTATTTCCTAGGATATTTTCAGACGGTTGTCGCGTCAGTATTGAGGTCACTAACATATTTGCCCAAGCAAATAATATATAGTCTGGTTCACACAGTTGAGTTATTTACGGTGACAAGTGGAATCGATAATTTCACCAGAGAGAGATTTTGTACAAAGCACTTATATGGCTGTGTTTCGGTTTGAAGAATGGGAGGAAAATTATAAGGCACGGAGAATCAACACCATTGTTCTTAGGAATGGCAATACTTAATCCATAACACTCCTTATTACTGTGCATCATAGTATATTTTGTGATGTCCATAGTCTTCTTCATATGTACAGATGGCGATTACCACTTTAAATTAAGGAGAAAGGATTATTTTAAGGATTATTTTTGGGTCTAACAATTCCACTGCTAGCAGTCAACCTCCACGCAATTCCCTTTAGAAACCATCGTTGTTAATTGTCATGGAATTCGTCCCCAGCCAATAGACCTGCTTTCATTATTAACTTTCATCTCTCACTCGTGCTCGGCCAGAATTTGCCAATAGCGCAAACTAGGTTACCAATCCATTGTCATTCAATAAAAAAAAAATACTTGTTCACCACTCTAAGTCTCCTAAACAATATGTTACTAAACTAAATGTTATCTTGCGGAAATCCATATCATTGGTTATTTAAATAAAACTATTTCGTTTCATCCCGCCACCATTTTTTGAGTAGTGGTCAATCTTCTAGTTTGTTGTTTGTTTATGTTCGACATTCACAAACATACAAATAGTAATGGAATTAAACAAAACAATTCTTTTCAAATAACCAGTGGGTCAAGTCCGCAGTTGTATATTAAATCTTTTAATGTATCCAATATAAATTATGTACAATAAATATTTTACAATCCTAAAAAATAGTCAATCCAGTCCTAAAAAATAGTCACATTAACTAACATTTTTTTTTTAATACAACTTAGAATGGCAAACAAGCTGACGGCCCACCTGATGCAAAGTGGTAACCGTCACCTATAGACATGAGCAGTACTACGGACATAACAAAGTGTACTGTTTCGCCCATGATACCCCCCATGCATTGCCATTCCTGAGGACTCAGGTGGTATTCCTCTGTACCCAGTAAATCCACGCCATATCCCACCCTTCAAACCGAAACACGGCCATGCAAGCACAACTGCTTCACGGTTGAAACACGAATGGGACAGAGGTACCCAAGCAATCGACTTTTGTACAAAGTCTCCCTCTGGTCTTTTTTAAATGACTTCTAAAAAATGTTCTTAAACCATCGTGACTAATTCCTTACGAATTCCTCGCTGGTATCCCGCCGACGTATACGAGTAAAAATAACATAAGGGAGATTATCATTCCATTTTCATAAACTTCATGTGCTTACATATTTATGAACCCATACACAAATTACGTTCAATTTTTCTTTTCAGTGATCGCTGGAACGTCTCCAAATCCATCGCTGGAACGTTTTAGACTGAGCTGTAAAAATAAAGGTAAATTACCATTACGTATTATAACAGATAATAAATATAGTGCATTTTATTAAATAGGTCAATAACCTTTTTCTTTTGAATATTTAAATAGATTTGTATATAAAGACACTCTAGTAGATTAACGACTACTATTAATCTACAAACTAATCCATTTATAGCCTAAAAATATACTATTATAATGGAATTTCTCTAAATTCTCATAGGAATAGGAGACACGAGAATAATTTGTCAAATTTGAATATAATAGATAAAAGTTACACACATAAAAGACAAAAAAATCCATTATACATACCTAAATACTAAAGTGCTAAGACATGCATAGTGAGATTTCGCATTAGTTCATGTTTACAGTGTATGTAAAATAAAGCCTTAAAAAAATGGTTAATAATAATTTAAAAATCTTACATAAACTTATACAGTACAACACATTGTTAAATATTTTATACCAAAAAAAGTGAAATATAATTAAACTTTTTTTTTTAAACGTAACTGTAATTTAAATAATTGACAGTATAGCGCAAACAATAATTACGATTGTGTTCTTCTAAATGTTTTATTTATTTTATATTAATCGACTATACATGTATAATATAAAAATTTTGTAATGTACTTTATGAAATATATATTAATGAGTTTGCTGTGCCCTTCCAGGGTCCGTGTTGATTCTTTATCTTTAATACACTCCTCGCAAAAATTAAGGGAACATAAAAATTTTTGAAATTTTTGGGTGATTTTCAACAGGCTGTATTTCAGTGAAAAATAATCGTACAGGAAATTTAAAAAAAGGTTTTTGAAGCTTGAAAACTCTAGTTTTCAGATTTTTTGGTAAAAAAAATTTTTGAGCTCCGGTTTCCATGCAATTCTTAAACAAAGCTGAAAATTCTAAATTTTCTAGGTTTCGTTTTTTACTCTATGGGCATGGAAAAATTTTTTCGAGCTACTCCATTGTATAGGTCTCTTAGCGTGTTTATTCAGCTTCAAAAATCGCTTTGGATGGCTCAATTACGACCATTTGTCTCCGAGATATCGAACTTTGAATGCAAAAGCATCCTCGCAAACGGTCGGATTCGTCGTGCAACCTCCACGTGGTATGCTTTGGGTAACGCTAATGCCGGCGGTAAATCGATCATCAATCAAAGTTTTTGTCAAAAACTTTGATTTCCTTAAAAACGAAAAAAAAATTTTTTGTAAACTTTTTCGACTATTCAAAAAAAAAATTTTCTTAAAAATTTTCTTGATTTTTTTCGATTTTTTTTTTGATAAGGAATTTTTAAAAAACAAAAAATTGAGTAAAAAGTGAAAAACAAATGAAATTATTGATTTTTGAATGGATTAGGGTGAGTTTAAGGGACAAAAACCTTGTTCCCTTATTTTTTCCAAAATTTCAATCAATTGGTCCGGGAAAAACCGTTGAACCGATCGCTCTAGGGATTTAGAGGGTTCTTTAAAGAACAATAGACTGTAAAATTTTCCTCAAACCTTAGCTTTCCCGCCCATATTAGCGAAGATACAGCCAAGTAACCAAAAAAGGAGAAAAAGTCACTTTTTTCCACTTTTTTCAATTCAATGTTAGAGGTGGAAAAAATTTTTTTCTTCACTAACTCTTGATCTCTAATTGGAAATTTTATGCAGATAAAGAAATTTGGCACCCGCTTGCTGTGCGACCAGTAGTTCCAGAGATATTAGCAGTTGAATGGAAAAGGATGCTTTTGCATTCAAAGTTCGATATCTCGGAGACAAATGGTCGTAATTGAGCCATCCAAAGCGATTTTTGAAGCTGAATAAACACGCTAAGAGACCTATACAATGGAGTAGCTCGAAAAAATTTTTCCATGCCCATAGAGTGAAAAACGAAACCTAGAAAATTTAGAAAAAAAATATTTTCAGCTTTGTTTAAGAATTGCATGGAAACCGGAGCTCAAAAAAATTTTTCACCAAAAAATCTGAAAACTAGAGTTTTCAAGCTTCAAAACCCTTTTTTTAAATTTCCATTGAAATACAGCCTGTTGAAAATCACCCAAAAATTTCAAAAATTTTTATGTTCCCTTAATTTTTGCGAAGAGTGTAGCTTAAGACCTATATTGTTACAACATGAAATAGCAGGGGGAAGGGATTATTAGTAATGCGGATTATCAGTCCCATTGCTGACAATATACCCTAACAGGTCTACCTCCCCATGGTCCCCCTGGAAAGCATCGTGCTGAATTCCAAGTGTATTCATCGCGATGGGCTAACTGACCTGCCTTTTCATCCTCATCTGTCACCCCTCACTGATGCCCCGCCAGCGTATACCGTTAGCTCAGGCGGGGTTACGATTCCATTATCATTCATTAAAAAAATTATAAAAAAACATGAAATAGCAATAAATGATAGAATTTAATTAAATTGAATTAAAAAACCCGACATTAGTCGTGGCAAAACTAGTTATTTTGCTTTAAAAACTAAATTACTAAATCGATTTTGATAAAATTTCTATAGAACCAATTTGTAAGTATATCCTTTCAAATAAAAACAATACAAATGGGTTTACAACTAACGGAGGTATGAAGTAACAAACATAAGAAAAATACAACCGAATTAAGAACCTTTTTGAAGTTGGTTGACAATATGGTCGGACCTGACCTTCGCAGACTTTTACAACACCATTAGAGGAATTACTCGCATGTTTACCAAATCATGATGGATTTTGAGATATCGGAGCCGATTCTGAGGTACTACTCGTAAATACATACATACATATCTATCACTCCTGTCTCCCATTAGAATAAGCAGAAACAATGAAACGCCAACTTCCACATTCATCGATCTTTTCATACATTCATTGATCTTTTCATACATCTCGTTCTGAGGTTAATATTTTAATATAAAAATTTTGCAAATTTACTGTTTTATGAACCATCGCTAAACTCGAATTTTAATAATTAAACTTAATCATATTATAAAATTAATTCATATTAGTCCATAAAATATAGAATTCGCTGTGAATTCAAATTTTAATTTTAGATTTAGAGAATTGGCGCCTCAGAATTGACCCCATTGTAATCATTGTTTCAACCTTGAAACAGTTGTGTTTGCATGGCTGTGTTTCGGTTTGAAGGGTGGGATATGGCGTGAATTTACTGGGTACAGAGAAATAACATCTGAGTCATCAGGAATGGCAACGCATGGGGGGTATCGTGGGCGAAACAGTATACTCTGTTATGTCCATGGCACTGCTCATGTCTATAGGTGACGGTTACCACTTTCCATCAGGTGGGCCGTCAGCTTGTTTGCCATTCGAAGTTGTATAAAAAGAAAAAGACCAACCTAATATAAAATGGTAATGATAACCGTTACCGTTAAAAAGTGGTAGTTAAATAATATGCCTCCGAACCCTGTAATTTCACTGTATGTAAGCAAGTGACTTATGACTTCATAACAACTGCTTAGCACTTATATTCCATTTTAGATACTATGTTTTTATATTAATTTTCGCTTTAGCCGACTAGATATCCATAACGATTATCAATAAGGGCGAAGCTTATGAATAATTTATGAACTAGGGATGAATCTTTCAAATTCTTTGGTAACAGCTGTCCGTGTTACAATCGGCATGATATCAAATTTAATCTACCTTATATCCTTCCCATTCCTTCCCTTTGTAGCTTTGTTAAGTTTACACAGCTAGATTCAAGGTTACGTCCAAAATGAATGGATCTTATAAAAATACCTACAAAATGTGCCCCTTACGCAGATGTTAGAAATCTTTTTGTCAAAGCTAGACTCTTTTATGTCTTATATTTGGCTGTGTCTCGAAATATTTCACGTACATTTTAATACAGGTTTGGTATTAAAAAGATTTCATTCACATAGACATTTACTGTTGTGTTTATTCGAAATATGATAATAAAGTATTTACAAAATTTTGTCAACGGTTTTGAAAAACGATTATGTTGTAATATTATATTATTATAAATAAAAAAGATTTTTTATAAAGGAAACTGACGAAGAAAAAATACAAATTCCTGTCTATACAAACATAGACAGGAATTTGTTTTTTTTTTACAATAAAAGTGGCAAACAAGTATAAAACTCATGTGATAGTAAACAGCTCAACCTACGGATGTTTGCAACACCAGGGATGCCACGTGTGCTTTTATTTTAATGGATGATAATGGAATGGTAAGCCCATCCACATTATCGTTATACGCTGGTATCGTTATACGAGCACCAGTGAGGGATATGTGTGAAAGTCGGCCAATAGTGACGAATTCGACAAGAATTAACAAAGGTTTTCAGGGGGAACCACGTGGAGGTCGATTTGATAGAGCATTTTGCTAGCAATATAGTCTCTATATCCCATTGTTTTTAGTGAATTTACAGGGTACAGAAAGATAACATCTGAGTCCTCAGGAATGAAGAAACAGTATACTTTGTTATGTCTATGGTACTGCTTCTGTTTGTAGGCGACGGTTACCACTTCCCATCAGGTGGGCCGTCAGCTTGTTTGCCATTCTAAGTTGTATAAAAAAAAAGTTTTGACAAGTAATTAAATGTAGTCATTATTAATTAAAATTATATACCAACTCCTACGCCATGTATAAGATTTACGCATACTAATTTTCTAACGGCAGTAACTTACAAGTAAAACGGCCTCTTCCGCATTGGCTTCTAATATTAATGTAGGCATGTTGAGCTAGGTTTACCCACCATAACGGCAATAGTCGACAAACTCCTGTGACTTATCATTCGTCATCAAATCTATCTATCCATCTGTATGTTTGTTCCAATATCATGCAAATACTAATATTTAATATATTCCTTAAGGTATAACTTAAAATCTGATGTATGTTTTATCATGCTATCTTTTAATTTTTTTCTTTATTTTTTTCCTTGATTAGCGTTAATTTTCTTAGTTCTGATATCTATATGTACCAAGTCGCAAGCAAAAAGCTAACTAACTAATAAGACATAAAGCTAATAGTATTTTTTTTAATAAAAAATAAATTACAGTGTGTATC